TTTGGAGCAATGTTCAGCAGCTGAGACTGGGAAAAGAGGGTAGGCAGCAAACCGCTAAAGGAGTTTAATGTATTTGTAACTTCAGATGAATATGACATTCCCATTAGAATGTTGCTCATTTTTGTGATTTGACCCAGCAGGCAGCTAAACACCACACAGCCATTCACTCACTGCCCCCCTCCCCAGTGGGATGGAGGAGAGAATGGGAAAAAAAAAAGTAAAATCTGTGGGTTGACAAAGACAGTTTAATAGGACAGGAAAGGAAGGCAAAATAATAAATAATAATAATAATAATATACAAAACAAGTGATGCACAATGCAATTGCTCACCACCCACTGACTGATACCCAGCCAGTTCCCAAGCAGTGGTTCTCCATCAACCAGCCCCCCAGTTTCTATACTGAGCATAACGTCATATGGTATGGAATAGCCCTTTGGGTCAGCTGTCCTGGCTGTGCCCCCTCCCAGGTTCTTGTGCACCTGGGAGAGCTCCAAATACAGTTAGAATCAGTATGGAAGAGATCTAAAAAACCAAAAATCTTTTCTCTTGTCACAAAAGTCTTGCATCTACCCACAGACAATACAGTCAGAGCCAGTAATAGTACTGCACTAGGCAATGAATGAAGCTGTCATAGCTGCCGCAAAGGACTTCTAGTTGTGCCCAAGTCATTTCTAGATGCCTTAGAGCTGTTTTCTGGATATAAGTGGAGTAGAGGACAGATGGTTGTTGGGAAGGGAAGGGAAAAATGCAAGTAGCACGAAATTTAATAATTTAAGGAAATGTTAGGAAAAAAAACAAGGAAATTAGTGATTTAAGATACAAACCTCTGTTTAGATATTTACAACTCTAAAGAGAAGAACTTGAAGTTAATTTGGATGAACATTACACAGTATCTAGAGATTTCAGTGGTACAACCACAAATGGAACTGCAAGTGAGGGTTTTCGGTGTCAGCAGTTAAGAAGCAGTCATGTTTCAGTGCATCAAATGGCCACCAGCCATCACAAGTGATGTCATGTGAGAGAGGTCCAGAAGATTTTAAAGGATGTTTACATATTAAGATAAACTAAGTTAGACACAGTCAAAAACTTTGCAGCTTAAGTGAAAACCAGTATGGATGAACAACATCTACAAAATCCAGGTTCATTGATAATGTTTCTTAACACAGGCATGATAATTAAAGAATCCCACTCTTTCTTTTGGCAGCTGCCATTAGCAAAGTGCTAAACCACAGCATGGCTTGTTTTGGTAGCAGCGGGATATTGATGACTGGCTTTTATTTGCTTGGTTGTTGTTTCAGACATACTGAAAATACAGTTCAAAAACTGTTCTATGGATGTTGATGTTGTAGAGATTTTTATTGCTAAATCTCAGAAAGGGCAAATAAATCTCAGCTGTTCAGTATTTTCAATAAATAACACTTTGCAGTTACCTCAGATTTAAAACTTTCCTAGTGGATACTGGATGTCAAATTCTTTTGTTGGCAAAATAAGTAATAACAGCTCAAAGAGGGAATTTGCTGAAGACAGAGGCAAGAAGTTCTTTGAACTGAGTTGTTCTGGTAATGATTATTAAGAAACATTAGCTACATAGTAATATTGCAAAAGATTACAGATGATTACAGATGATGGTAAAAAATTAGAAAATTAAAATATTTAGTGAATCTCTCTCCTAATATATGCAAAACAGTAAAACTTTCAACTATACAGATATTCTGCTAACATAGAACAGGAACGTCAAAACGTGAGCTTCTTTATTTTTTTCCTTCTGAGAACACAAACCAATTTAATTGTATTACTAAACCAGTCCAAATATGGGGCTTAAAATGTTTTACTAGCATTATGTCTTGAACATTATAGTCACAAAAACATTATTGTTGCTTTACAGATGAAGCCAGTATCTTTAAGCAACAGGGTGGCCATAGCAGAACCAGAAGAAGAATTTGGAGCATCTGATTCTTTGACCTGTCAGCTGGACTTCTACTTTCTTTTAATGCATAGCTTGTAACCACTTTTGAAAGTACAGCTATACTTCAAAAGCTTAAGTGCTTCTTCTTTATGGTATGGAATATCCCATATCACAAGAAGTTTTTGTAGCTTTTAGCCTATTTCGCCACCTGTCAACCACATACACAAAATAAAGAAAAAATTATAGTCAAAGCCACTGGTTTCCATTACTAGCAATGCTCTTTCAGACAGTACCTGAACTAAGAAAACAATTTTAGCATCATCCTGATAATCAGCTTCAGACTTTCTGAGATTTTCGAGTATAAGTTTGTACTTCAAAAATGCTTCTCGTCGCCGAGCCTCATTATCAAGCTTGCAACATAAGTGGCATCTGCCAATGGTGCGGGAATTAGCAGGAACAGGAAACTCAGAAGATGGCAAGTAATTTTTGCAACTATGACAGAAGTTAACATTTTTATAAAGCTTTAAGGGATCTGGTGGAACCTAAAAGATTTAAAAAAAAAAGTTAATTTACCACAAAGTATGTGTGTATTACTTGTGTGTCACCCTAATTCTATTGGAATACATTTTACATATATTCATGCAAGTATTTTAATATGTAAAAGCCAGTAATATTTATTTTAAAATCCCCAATAGGTTTTTTTTTTTTTTAAAAAAAATAGAAGACCAAAAGCCATTCTGTTTTCTTACTCTAGTTGTTAAAATTACTTATACAAATCAGTCAATTAATTTTTAAGCTATATGAAGATCCTAGACATTATGCTCCAGTGGTCTTGCTAGCACTTTTATGTATGCAGATTATCAGCCACTCTGGAAAGTTGACAACACAGAGAAAAGAGAAACTAATTCTTTTGCATTTAATTTTTCTTATAGAATCTGCCTTTTATGTCAAAGATAAAACCTTGAGATTATGGGCGTATTAATATTTTGGCATAATATAAAATCATCAGGGCCACATGTCCAAAAACAATATAGGAGAAAATAATAAACTAAACTTGCTAACGACCTCCTCACCCTCATACAGCTTCATGGGTTCTGGAGAGAATTTAATGTAGTCTGTGCAGACAGCCCAAGGCTGTAATTGGATAGTTTGAGTAGTCTGATAGTTCAGCTACCTATTGTGGTCATCTGCCTTTTTTTGAAATTACCTGAGGATTTGGTTGCCTTGACTGTCTGTTGATGAACTGCGATATTTTTTATGGTCTACAGAAGGTTACAAGATTCAAATACAACTATAGGTGCAATTCGGCCTTCAACTCAAGGTAGAGTTAACCAAAAGCTACAGAAGCCAAAGATCTCCCATCTCCAGTCTCTGCTACGACCCATCTAGGTAACCCTGTTCATAAACCTAGTGTAATATAACTGCTGGTTGGTTCTAAATCCCACTAACATTTACTGACAGATTCTCTACCCCTGAGATACCATCAACCACTGTAAGAGGAATCCTCTTCTGATAGATGAAGAATACATGTTGCTGCCTAAAGCAGCAACATATGATGGTGAATGACATTTTTAATTGTAATCTGTAATCAGAAAAGAAAAGCAATCACACAACTTGAGAGGTGTCCACCACTATCTCCACTTCATAGCTATATCTGCTTCTCATGAGGTAGCAACTGGTTGTACAACAGAAGCCTGTAACAGCTCTTGCTTAGGCACAAGCTCATTAGACATCACTTTGACAATGGCAATGATCTTTCTTTCTGGACACATGGGATGCTGCCTCTTGCCCAGTGGAGAAAAGGTAATTGCTCTCTCTATTGATTCCCCATTTGCTATTACGATTTACTGTTACCATCCCATAAGATCTACCATTTACAATTCTCAGATTTTTTTATTTCATGCATAGTGTTCCTGGGTGCTCTCAGTGCTGCCAGCCATTTGTCAGCTTCTTATACCCATGTCTGCCCCATGTTTCATATATGACTATATAAGCTTATTTGTGTGAAGCCTGTGTACTTGCTACTTTTTACTTCTTGAGGAAATCCTCCAGCAAAATCTAAAATAAAAAAAAGCTTTAATTGTTTTCCATTCCCCTTCTCCACCATCCTTAGTTCGATAGCCACTATGTCAGACTGCAAAATAGGAACAATACCTTAAGCATCTGAGCGACTTCAGGGTTGAACTTTGGAGTTTTAATATACTGAAGAAATAAGGTACAAATTCTTTTCCTCAGTCCTTCTAAGTTGCACTCTTTCACCTCTCTTGACATAAGATCAACCTCCCTGTCAATTAATTCCACTATTTCCTGTGTTAATTTACATTCATGTTCCTGAAAGTAAACACACAGAAAAAGGAAAACAAACTCCACAACAATAAGGAAGCAAACAAACAAAATAATTCTTACGCAGGTATAAAAGCAAACTATAGATTCTTTGCCAATCTTTCATACCTCTGCAGGTTCACGTAAGAACACGTTCATATAAGAACCCCTTAGTGTCTTAGGAAAACAGAGAAAACTAATGTAAAGAACTAAAAAAGTGAGAATGCTTACATATCCTGCTTTAAGAGGCCTGTATATTTACCAAAGCTGTGAGGAACTGTAAACCTGGAGGCATTAAAAAATGCTAAGTAGAGGCACAGAACACATGCAAAATTTTCAGTCTCCAAAAGCCCTAAGAAATATCTCCCTAAGAAGCTTCCTTTGGCTATGAGATAGGAGGTGTAATGTATATACACAGTAGATGGTTAAAAAAAACCCCAAAACACCCAAACAAAAAAACCCACCACACAAAAGTCATGCTTGGAAATTAGTCATTTCAGTATTTCAAATGCCTAGCAGGAGATTCTCCAGAGAGAGTTTAAGAGGTGAATGAGTCTAATGTTTTCTTACCTAAAATAGAGTGCTATTTTACAAAAATTCTAGAATTTGTTCACTACAGCGATATTGACTTGTATTAAGATGGGCAGGAGTTTATAAACCAGCAATACTCCCAATGCTATATTAGCTTTAAAACAAATTCTGGTACTACCAAAGCAAACAGCAAGACATTCATTTGCTTTTATAAGACCAGGAAGCAGCATTCTATTCTAGTTTGATGTCAACAGTACGATCCCGAAAGTACATTGAAACTCATATTATTCTTTTTGCACATGAATAAATAAGTAAATAAACAAATATGAAAGACTAAGAGAAATGCAGCCAGCTTCTAATTCTCTGGGAACAGTGGCAGCAGCAGTGGGGGTGGGGAGCGGGGGTAAATAAAAAAAATAAATAATAAAAAAAAAAAAATCAGTATTTGCCAGTTTTAGTAACCCAAACCAACAGAGGGGATCAGGCTCTAAACAGACATTTCAAAGAACTGAGACAAAAAAAATAGTAATAGTCACTTACATCTCTGCCATGGTTTTCATCAAGTTGTTGTAAATATTAAGCTAAACTTTGTACTAAAATTGTATTATGTATTAATGTACAAAAAAGTCTAAAGCCACAGGGTTAAAATTGTAACACAACTTGAAGAAAAATGTGCACATCACAAAGTGAAATATGAACATAGAGTATATCTGGAATGTAAATTATACTCTCATGCCAGGCAGTACACTAGGCTTTCTCTTGCTGCCAGCTGATCATCCTGGCACCTGTTTACCAGAAGAAGCATTGCTTATGTGTCAACATAATTAAGTCACTGTATCTTTGGGAACTACAGCTTCAAGCCAAACATAAATAGAAAAATAAAACATACCTTCACTGTACGTCTGAGTGTTAACAGCACATCTATTCTCTCATCTTTTGGGATGTCATTCATGCTAATGCTGCGGTAGATTTCAAATAGTTCTCTGGCACGGAGTGTGTACTGTGTATCCATTTCAGTGATTTTTCCATCATATGCTTTCCATCTCTTAGGTTGTGCACACTTGAGAAACAATTTGTATAACTCTGAGCTATTATAAACTGATCACCAGCTGAACAAGTGCATTACATTACATCAAGTTTCACCACAGCAAATAGGGACTTAACATTAATGCTTGACTAATACAAAAGGCTAATTCTATTGCCGATATTTATACAGTACCTTTTCCACCACAGCAAGTATTCAATTGCACACTTTGTTTAACGTTGCAGGTCATGAAAATTTTTATTTACAGTATATTAAAAGTAAATAATATTCTCCTGCAGGAATATGCTCTACTTCTTTAAAATAATTTACTGACAGTAGTGTTAGAACACGTTTGCTCTGCATTTCATCTTGCAGACATAAATCCCTCTAAACCATCCGTAAAAATCAATGGGACTGTTGGCTGTGTAAAGATTGCAAATTTAAGGCCCCAGAGTCTACTGCAGTACAAAATATCTCCAGGGAACTGTTCTATTTATGCTAGCTATACAGACGGATAGAAGGCACAGATTTTGTTAAACCTGACTAAAGCAGAGTATGAGTCTACACCTTACCGGACACTTCACCTAGTTGGTGAAGTTGCTTGCTAACTTAACCACATGCCATATGCCTACTACGTCAACTGCCTCTTTGCACATCTTTAACTTCTATAGACAGTGAAAAGTTACATGGTGTCAGCTGCCCCACTTAGTTTGAAAAGTCATAGAATCATAGAATCGTTTAGGTTGGAAAAGACCTTTAAGATCATCCAGTCCAACCATTAACCTACACTACCAAGTCTACTCTAAGCCAATCAAGGGTAGACTAGACTAAACCATGTCCCGAAGTGCCACATCTACCCGTTTTTTGAACACTTAAGTCCAGTCTCCTTTCAAGAGGACTGGTTTTGGTGGCAAACCACACTGTTATATAGTGAGGTAAGTATCTAAACCCATTAGAAAGATAGTATTCAAAACCCTCTCTCCATCATTACCTAACTCCACTCCCTTTCCTTAATGGGCACAACTATTTGGAACTTCATTCTGTGTATTAATTATTCTCTTTCACTGTATTTGGAACTTGAGTGTTCAAAAACAGTTGTGAACTTCACTTCGCAGTCTTCGTGCGAGTTAACTACAGCAACACTTCATGCAGCATTCACATGCCTAGCAGTTTTCTGGATATGACCCCAGCATTGATGTAATCATTATTTTGACCAAATATACAGGCTTCCTATGGTGATGAATCATAAAAATACCAAGAACATTAGATAGTTAGAACAGATATGATTAGTCACCACCACAATCAAAATAGAGCTTTCCTCACTTTTAAATAAGTAAATTATAAAGTTAGGTAAGCAAGACAAAATAACTGAAAAAGGATTTAACACTGAATAACCGACATTTAATTACATTATCAGTGGTAGTGGAACTCTAATTAAAGGAGGTATTGTTAGTCAAAGGTCACAATTCAGAGCCATTGATTAAGAAATGCAATAGCAAAACCAGACATTAGTAGAAAATAAAACTCTTAATTCCTTAGTGAAATCTTTGAACTTCTGCAAAACTAGAGAGAGGCAATTTTCTCTCTGTCATAAAAAGGGAGCATTCTACTGTAACTTCATGACTTTGTTTCGCTATCTTTGTACAGTACTAGAAATACTAAAAAAAAAAAAAAAAAAAACCAACCCAAACAAAACCCAAGCAAACAACAAAAATAACCCAACCAACTTAGAAGCTATATCACGCTGTAACTCCTTTGTAAGGTAGATTGGCAAAAATCACCATTTTCCAGAGAGTAGTTAATTCAGTACCTACATTTGGGTTAGCTCAGTTGGTTAGAGCATGGTGCTAATAATGCAAGTTCACAGGTTCAATCCCTGCTCACTGCAGGGGGGGTTGGGCTCGATGATCTCTCAAGGTCCCTTCCAACCCAAAGCATTCTATGATTTGATCCTCTTCAATGAAATCACTTATCATAAGACAGAAAGGTCATTTGCTTATGCTAGGGAGAGTCAATGGGCAGAGTTTACCCTAGGAAGTGGTTATTAAAACTAGGTTCTTCTGATAAATTTGCAACAACCCATATATGAGCTAGCAGTTTTGGTATTCCTCTCTGCAAATGACCCTTAACACAGACCAACTATATTATGATAATATCTAAATTATTCAAAGCATGATATCATATCTATAACTTCTGTAATTTTTCTTTCTACCTCATCATAACTGGGTATTACATAAAATAAGATCATTTTAAAAGACAGAAATTATGCAGCTTTTTACTGAAAAAAACCTCCAACAAACCAACCCAGAGGTCTCATCAATATGAAGATTTCCAGTATTTTAGAAAGAATCACAAGCTCTCTGATTTCAGGACTATTTTCATGTATTCAAGATTGATGCGAGAAACTAAAACTTTGAGATTTTTTGCCAGCTTTTTTTGCCTTTTAGTCTGCTGGCAGTGCTGCAAAATTTACAATAATTCTGTTATCTGTATTACTTCAGAAAGCAAGACTACTATAACTGCACTCTGCTGCCAATGCACGAAAGTGGAAAAAAAGCACCTGAGGAGAGAAGCACACCACCACAGACACAGAGAGAAAAAGGTTAGAAAAGTAAAAAAAAAAAAATCCATAGGGTGGGTGCAGAAATAGCACAAAGCATGAAAGGTATGAACTGAGTGACAGCTAATAATTACACAAATTCCTTTAAGAAAATATGATTGCTGTATAAAAGCTTAATCAAGTACTTCCAAACACAAATGCTGAAGAATGAGCTCAGCTAAGAAAAGAACCCCCTAGAACGTAGTGCGCGCACAACCAGTAGCAACCATTGTAAAAGCACACATGCATGAGAAGGGACATGCCTGAAGTAGCAAAGAAGGGAATGAAGGTTTCCATGGAGAAGCAAGTTTCATATCACATTGGCTATTGCAGCAAAGTGAAATGCTTCCAGTCTTCAGATGTGAAAGGTGTTACTTCAGCTTTAACTGGCAAGTGTCCAGATGAACATTATCAGCTCAAAGTTCAAGAAATAACTGAATTATCTATAATCTAGCACTCCAACAATAAATTTCATGCTACACTTTAAAGTGTTTAAATTGCACTGTTACAGTCATAACAAACCATCCATTTAATTTTGAGATTTCCAAAATTATTTTTTATTTATTTTATTTTTTAAGAAATGCAGAAATTGTTACTTTCTTTACCTCTGAGTTAGGCTGCTATCTATGGCAACAGTTTAGAACACTCAAAACCTTATAGCTGACATGATAAAAAAACATGGAAAGAAAAAGTTGCAGTAGTTCAGAAGCTCATGAGATTTTCAAATTAAAAAGAAATCAGTCTCTTTAATGAAAAACACAATTTATAAATTTAAAATATGAATAAATAAATTAGTAGTAAGTGCTTCAGAAACATGTACACTGTTTGGAAAGAGATAGCATCTCTTGTCTCTTGTGTCTCCTGAATCTCCAAGCATCAATTGTCACTAAGAATTCTGGTAGTGAAGAACATTTTGCTTCCAATTCCTAGATGTAAGAAAACTGTTCAACTTGTGAGAATATATAGTGGAAGTAATCTATATAGGGTAGGACATTGGAAAGCAGTTCTTAAAGGAAAAATAGAGACTCACTGTACCAGGCTTCTTTTTCTGAGAAGATAACAGAACAGTTTGTAAATAGTAGAAGCAAATATTCAACAAAGAAATTATTCCAGGTTTTGATATCATTTCTAAATATTTAGTTTTCTGGTTTTTTGCACTCTTGAAAGCAGTAACAGAGAATACAATCACATCACAGCAATAAACTTGGTAACAGTTCCACCAACATTTCAGATAAATAATTTGTTCATAATAAAGAAAGGTAATAGATTTTATCAAATCATTTTTTACAGTCCAGTTCCCATACATCAGTAATAAAAAGAATGAAAAAAAGTCTCTTCTGGACAAAACTGCCATTTTTACTTTTGAGCACTAAATAGCCAAAATTAAAAAAAAAAAATTAGACAGTAAAAAACCTATTTCTGTTGCAGTATTTCTTATCATAATTATGTCATATACTATGAAAACAGCCAGAAAATAAACAATTTCTTTTTTCTGAGGGGATGGTTTGTTGGGACGTCTACCTGAAACAGACTTTTTTTTTGTATTTTACATTAAGGTGCTATTGAATCTAATGCCTTTCTAAATCATCTTTTTGTATGAATGAATCCTCATCTTTGTTTTATAGATGAAAGCCTGAACAACGCTTGCATTAAATTTCATCCCAAAGATTTTACAAGAATAAAATCTCAAGATAAAGTTCTCATGCAACTGAAACTAGTGAATTAATAACTGAGTTCAATATGATAAAAGATTCAGTCAAAGCTCTTCTGGGTTTCTATCCTATACATGAAAACAGAATAAATGCTTTCTTTAAAGACAGACATAGGATGACTAGAGGCCTGTGCTCAATGGGGAAATAAATCTAGTGCCTGAAGGATAACATTTCTGAGGGAAGAATAAAAAAATAAAAGAATGAATTAATGCATTCTGCAGGGTTACAGTTTAATTTTACAAATACTTGCTTAAACTTTTGCATTTAAATTTAAATGCAATAGCAAACTTTTCAGTATAGAGAACAATGAACAGAACATACCAGAGGGACAGTCACTTAGTCATTAGTTTTGATTAGTGAAACTGAGTATTTTTTTAAAGAGAAACTAGTAGCCAAATTTTTAAAGTTTCAAAAACAGATTAGGAAAGAGCAGAGTTTCATGCATGAATTCCTACATCACTGTAATGCACACAATACAAAATACAGAATGGTATGCAATATCCTGAAGCTTTATAACCTCAAATTAACCATTCTGAATTGTTAGAATTTGAGCCTTTAATGCTCTTAACAGCGCCATCAGAATCATGTTCTTTATGCAGAATAGTTACTTAATACAAAATTAATCCACTCAGTGCTATTTTTTCATATTTTATATACACACCTGAGATTTACCATAGACACAGGTAGTTAACAGTCTTAATGATGCACCGTTAGTCCTTCAATCAGTCATAGAGCTAAGAAATTCTGAGCTTGGAAAAAGAAATTTACTGAATTGTATTGACAAGAACAACTAGATAATTTGGATACTTATAACATTAGCATTCCCATGATTAACTGTTAAAGCTCCAAAAGTTACTTTTGGCAGGTAGTTTGCAGATGTCTTTTCTGTTCCTGTACTTTGGTATTCTTTATGTTCAGCCTAAAATTTCATCACTGACCTTATCCAGAAAGTGCAGTATTGCTTTTTGTTGATTCTCCTCATCTGCATTTAGTTTGTGTCTCCCAATGGAAGCAATCAGCTGTGCCTCTTGTTCCAGAAGTCCACAAAATGCTGCCTTTCTTTCAGCTCCAGTAAAAGTTTTGTTAATCCGTTCGGTCTCCTCCTGCCTCCATACTACGGATACAAATATTTTGGGTATTTTTAACAAGATGTTTTCCAGTGAAACTTCTACTTTCATATTTAAGAAAAAACATATTTCATTCTCAATACCCATTAAAAGCCAGTTTCTACGTTAGGGAATTGATTGTTACGCATATTTTCAATACACACAAAACGGCCCAGAAATGAATGAAAATTATACAGGTGTTCTGTGAGAGTATGTGTGTGTACATCAATTCCAAACTGTCAATTCCTACTCCAGACTCAAAAATGGGTGAGGAGAAAAAGGAGCTTTATATGAGAAAAAGAATTTAGCTCCTGTGGAAACGTGTGATTAAATTATTTCTTCACGATTTTGCATCTAAAATAACTGTTTGAGACTCAAAGAGCTCCAAAAGGTATGAGCAATAGGAGCTTCTTAAACAATTGCTCATCAAAGTCACAAGAAAAGATACCATGGAGATCTTCTCAACAGATTAAGGACAGCATCTTACTGTGGTACCACTAGTAGTCAGTGCTGAGAATATTACTGCTTCTCCCTGCATAAATGAGTAAAATCTAAAGAAGCTTGAAGTCCTCCAAAACTGAGATAAAAGTTGACTGACAGTCACATTTAGCAATTCCAGTTCTTACACTGAATATTTGAGCAGTATCATCTTTCGCCATCTAAGGCAGATGGATGCACATTAATAATTAGACAGTCACTGCTTTACTCCCCCTTTACTCTTCTACAACAGAACCCTTCAAGTGGAAGTGGTGTGCAGACCAGAAGATAATAATGAATACGTGAATCAGTACACGCTGTATAAGAACCTGGCCTTCTGACTCTTAGGGTCAAATCACCAAACCACAGGTACCTGCTGCACTTACAATTATAATTGTAAGTTAGACTACTTAGTGACAGAAACATTCAGATGTATACATATGTGTCTATCATGGCTAATTTTGTAGTACCCATTTTTTGACTAAGTGCTGATACACAGACTATATGCCCTTACAGAAATCCGTTAGTAAAATCAAATTGTGTTTACTGAATAGTGTTTTCCTTTGCATACACTGTAGCAATTCTTGGCTTTTCTGAAGAGTCTGTTCCATTTTAAATACACCTGGAGTTCTGTAGGGAATTTTATAAGATCCAACAATTCAACATTCCTGAATAATATCTCAAAGTGTTGTTATTGTTCCAGAACAGTTATGCAAAAGCAAAACCCAGTGTAAAGAAAACAATCCAATAAGCAATGCACACTTACTGAAAAAAACTATAAAATCCTGTATCAGGTAAGATTAGAGGCAGGAGGAAGGAAAGGAAGAAGGTTTATTTTCTGCTTGTGGCTTCCTTATCTACAATACTTTATGTTTTCCATTTAAAAATATTTCAATTCATTTCCTTAAGGCTCTCCAAGCATTAGTATTAATATGACAGCTGTCTGACAAGTTCTGAGTACCCCAAGAGATATTTTTAAATAAAGCCATTTCAGCAAACAAAAGCACTGTATAGAATTAATTTACATGAAGCTTTATATGCCTGAAGGGGGCAGCAACTTCAAAGGTAGAGCTAATAAATACAGTAAGCAATTTTGTACTTACAGAAATGAAGAAGCTGTCAGGTATCATCAATACTCACCTTCTGATTCACCATATACATGCAATCAAGTTAAAAACATTCCTCTTAGATTATCTGTTCTACAGATATTTTAGCCATTATAAATTTTATTCCAGCTTTTATAAAAGGAAGTAGTTCATGCTTTTCAAATAAAAAAATCAATGTCTCTATATGCAGTCACACTGAATATATATATACGTCTCATTTGCACCATACAGTCAACAGGCAAGTTTTTGTACCAACAGGAATTGCTTGCACTGGCTGACCCTGTAATAGTATCCCCCTGTTGTGATCAGCAGCAATAACCTTCACAGATCTCTAGAGGACAATAGTCTCATTCTATTACTGTCACAATGATTTAGCTTGTGTAGACTGTTGACACTATAAGAATGTAAAAGTAGTTTCAGATGCAGGTAGAAAAAAAACTTCCTAGAACTACTAAGCTCTATTAAAATAAAGAGCATGACTGCAAGTCTCCATGTAGAGAAGCAACTAGTCAACATTGGTAAACAAAAACAAACCCAAAAGATTGATACCAGACCATTATTTTTAACAAAACGTTAAAAAGACATTTCAAATAGTGGAGTTTGTTCTGTTCCAGTTTTGAAGTGGCACGTGCTTTTTCAGGTTGTCTAGATATTAAATTCCTGAACATGCAAAGCTGAAAGTTTTATTATTTGTGAATCCAATGACATTAAATTAAGCAAAAGAGGCACTTATATAACCTTAAATTTTAAATCTAAAAATATTTGGAATAGCAGCATTCATTCACAACTTTAACTCAGCTTTGTTGTTACTATTGCAAATAAGACTCATCACACTTTAAAAAAAAAAAAGTGGATCATACATTTGATAGCACACTAGCTAGGAAGCATTTTTTTAAAGAAAATAGTGCAGGAAATTAGATACCAAATAGTAGCACTTGCCATAAGTGGAGAGGAAAAAAATTATTATATGAGTTGATTACCTAGTCAGACATACCTTTAAAAGGCTTGATTCTTGTGAAGAGCTATCTATCTATGAAGAAAAAAAGGGGGTGGGGAAAACAACCCCTAACAAACCACAAATCTCATGAAGACACTATTCCCAAAATTCTGAATTTTAAGACCAGTAATAATTTTTACATTCGTCACAAACAGTAATACTTATAAGTCATTTATACACTCAGACAAAAGGATCTGTTCAATGCCACACGAAGTATGATGGTATTAAAAGATTACCGTATAACTTGGGAATTCTTGAATCATGATCCTAAACTCTGTGAATAACACACGCCACCAGTTTTATGCTCAGTTTACCATGGAAGAAAAACCTGGGATGGTTTAAGGTAGGTCAGGTGGCTTTGCAATGAAGCAGGTAATCCATTAGGCCAGTTCTGCTATAGGTACAGTAATGTCCAAACTGACGAAGAGTTATGTCATAAGCAAACACTATAGCTGTATTAACATATGTGTTGTTACAAGTCACAATGCAAGCATCTTGCTTAAAAGGTGACATTTTAAAAAGAACTCTTGCAGTTTCATTACATGCTGCTACAAGTCCACTGCTTTCTATTGGTTTTGGTTTTTTTTTTTCCAAAAGGACATACTCTAGGATTTTTGTTACATTTGCAACATTATTCTCCTGTAAGTTATGTCAAATATCTGCAGCATTCACCTTATTTTTCCAGCCCCAAACATGGGGCTATGTTTTGGATTTGTGATGAAAACAGTGTTGAT